TACTTATACTTTTGTTGTTGATAGTGAGCGCGTGTGCGGCTGATACTTAGCATATCCATCATTGCATTTTTTTTGTTTTTTGCTTCTACCCAAATTGCAAAGTATTTTAATTGTAGTGAAAAAAAAACATGAAGGCAGGCAGCCAACAACTTTCATAATGCAGCAAAATTAAATTGATTTCCAATTTGCTTTGCAATTCAAAAATCAATCAATTTGTGTTTTTTTTTTGCCATTATGTCGGGTCGGAAGGTTAACAAGACTTTTGGTTAGCATTTTTGTGAACTCGCAAAATATTATATTTCATTTGCTCGTGAGAGGCGAATACGTGATATGGCCAGTAGGAAAAATCGATTAAATCGACTTGCCTACCAGTAGAACTTGAGAGTATTGTTCGAATGCTCGGTGTGTACTTTTTTGTCTTAAAACTGTGTTCTATAAAAAATGTATATTCTCCAAGAGCCAATTGCGTGCGCATATTTTTCAGTTTTTTCTGAATCCAACCACCCATTCTTTCCATAGAACGTCGTCTTTCTTTTACTGCGACCACTTTTCGTTTTATATTTTATCTCATTTGAAATAAATATATTGTATAGAATTCGTAAAATGTTCTTATAAAGCTAAGGCGATAGATCGTTGTAAATTTCCCTGCCCAAATCGCAGTAGTGCCTCTGGGCCTGGTTGAGCAAGCCACTAATGTAATGTAAATTTAATGGGTGGCCCACAAACAAGGGACCCTACGACCTAGACATTCTTTTGTATCCCTAACTATCGCAGCCCGAGTTATTATCACCCTCTTTGGTAAAAGATAACAGTCACTCGGTAGGCGAATTGCTGACTTTAAGGGCATCGACTGTGGAGAACTAAAGTATTGCAGTTTTAGTCTGGCCAATACCCGACAATCACACATCATGTGATCCGACGTTTCCTCCTTTTCAAGACAAAGCTCTATTACAAAGATTAATATCTTTCTTAGAAAAAGGTTAACCAATGAGCCTAGCCTGTCTAAGGCATGGGGACCACTCCAAAGTACTTACTGCGTTCTGAGGTTGCCCGCGAATCGATTACGAATCTCAAAAAGGATCAACTGAGTCCAACCACTATATTAAGCAGATCCCTCTACCATGTTTCGGACCACTTTAATTTATTATAATTCATAACAGTCATGCCCATTCATGCGATGTCCTATTAACTGCGCACTTACGCACTCGAAGACTTGCAATGTAGTTACTTCGAGAGATGAAAGAGCCTTGAGTGCCTAGACAATTATTGCACCGTTTCCTGAAATATGCTCGAGTACCTTTATAATGATTTGGCTGTGGACCGACGAAAAACAATTCGAAATTGTCCTATCGGGAAGGTATGCAACTACAATGGCTTTACATTATGTGCAATATTTATATCAAAATGAAATTTAATTTATCACAGCAAATGGAGAGTACAAATCAGCCATGTGTCTCATAGTTTTCATTTTTTTCAAATAACTGATGTTTATACAGTGGCTGAATTTCTTTATTCATTCTGAACGTATGGAATAAACTTTTTTGTTTACTTATTCTTTAGAACGTTCCTGATGATATGTTAACGTATATTTCAAACGCATTCTGTTTATTCCGGCTGTGAAATGGGATTATCCGGAATGTATAAAGAAACGCAGCCAGTATATTTTGCTTTGCTGCCTTTATGCTTAAGTGCACATTTAAGATACCTACCCTAAAATGCGCACTAGCGGCATTATTTTTAACATTTATAAGGAAACTCCTCCGATAGATGCATTCAACATACCTGCGCATTGGCGATACCAGCCTTAAAAATTGTGCAACTATTATTAACTATCAAAGAAAGTATTAGGTTTACCTGCACTGGTCCTACAATTACCTAATTTTACAAGCTTTTATTTATTTTGCTCATCTCGCAGAACAACGAAAATGGCTATCAATTAATGTAGTTATATAGATAATTAGATACCATTCGGTAAAAATTTCGCTTGCGGTAATTTCTACGTGGTAAGTGCTCCTCCATTAATTGGTTTCATTGGGATTCGGATACCTTCCTCATTGAAGTAGTAAAGAAAATTCGCTTAAGTGCTTTTTTCGGTTAAGTGCACAAGTTTTTCGTGCAAAGAAGGATGGGCAGCTAAGCAAAATATACTGTATTTTGTTTTGCTGGCTATTTTCTTGCTGAACTCATATGACTGACCTTTCATGAAAACATCAAATGGGCAACCCCTAATAGAAAGGTGAAATGAAATACGCTAGAGGGTGTGTGCATCAAAAGAGGAAAGGTATTTACTACATACATATGACTATATGCATGTTCCCAAATGTTTTCAAGAAAAAATACAAAAAAAAAGGTACGAAAATTTGTACAAGCATGTGACGTACTATGCATATTTACATACGCCTCAGCACCACTGTTAGCATACATGCAGCCATGTTGCTATCCATCAGAAAAAACTCGCCTACGTTGGCGTCAGTTGTCGAGTCCACGCCTATGACGTAGCGGATATCAAAGCGTGATGACCAAATGTCAATCAAATTTTTTCTATGAATAGTATATGTATGCACATACCCTGAAAAAAATGCGACTAATCCGGGATGACTCCGGGAGCGATCGCAAAGGAACATGCGACTAAAACCACTTTTGATCTCTTATGTGGAATGAACTGTTCACTTTTGTTCGAGCATGTCCTATGAAGAGACTAATTGTTGCCCTGTATACCCGAACGGGTATAAAAAGCGACTAGTCAATTTTAAAAATAAAAATTTTTGATAAGCGAATACTCTCTCTCTGTGCCAACGCCGCACATACAAGTTCATTGAGTAAGTGCGTACATATCATTAAATCGTTAATAGTACGCGTTAGAGATGAGTCGGGGATTAATTGATCTCCAAATAATACCCGTAGGAGACTAGTTGCGACTAATTACCCTGCAGGAAATGTATCTAACTATAAGCTAACTTTAAGTTGATTAGGAAAGAGCTAAAAGTCACTTATTATCTGTATATTTTCTTTGACGAAAGCTAACTATATTTCTATGGCGATGGCCGCGAAATAGTCAAGAGTGGGTTACCTCTGCATTTGATGTAACTAACTTGTAACTAACTACTTTGGACATAAAATATCAATAAGAAAAACCAAATGTTTTTTTTAAATTTACTTTACTTATTTTATTACATTTCATATTTGTTTCCATATTCTGCTGTAGGTGGTCCCATATTATTCAGACATAACTTCAAAATGATAATATGAAATTTCGGTCTTCCTTTTATTAAAAAAAAACGCCTTTAAAGAAAACAATCTCCTTCATTACTCCTGCATTACTTGTCAACTAGTTTCAAGTAAGCTTTTTGTATCTAACTACAAGTTATATATTTTATAGAAATCACGCAAAAAAGCTAACTACAAGTGGGTTATTTTTTATCAATTGATAATTTTTTTCAGCAGGGTAATGCCCAATTGTACCCGATTGAGAGTAATCTCGGTATACTCTCTTTAGAGATTAGTCTCACAATTTTTTGCAGGGTATGTATATACATACATACATATTTATTTCTGCACATGTACATATGTATAAGGGTGCCTCAGGAGAAAACGTTGCTTCTTCCGTAAGCGAGTCGTAAAATTTAGTCACCTTTTTATGGCTCAAACCAAAAAATGTTCTCTTAAATTGGTGCTATTCGTGAGATAGACACCCATATTAAAATATTTCATTTAACTTGTCAAATAAATAGCGAAACATTTGCCAAGCTACTGTAAAAAAGCCCACTTAAACCTCTTTCGCTTGATACCCATATCAAAAAATATTTCATTTAACTTATTAATTAAAATGATATTGATTTTTTTTTTTTGCAGGGGTCAACCCTGAAATAAATCTATTCTAAACCTCTCTCGCTTGATACCCATATCAAAATATTCCATTTGATTTGTAATTGAAATTTATTTTGAACTTCTAAACGGGTGGCAAACTTTCTCGAAATAAGTACAAAATAAAGTTCTGCAAAACTCTCTCTGGCGTTTAGCAAAATGCATATTTGATTCTAGTATTGCTAGTTAAATTGAGTTTAAATTTCTATATGGGTGGTAACCCTCGTCAACAATATTCACTCACTTGTTATATCCATATAAAAATATTTCATTTAACTTGTAAATTAAATTGATTTTGATTCGAAATAAAGCTTACTTAAACCTCTCTAGTTTGATACCTATGTCATAAAATTTAATTTTACTTGTTAATTAAATTGATTTTAACTTTTTAAGCAGGTGGCGACCCTTCAAAAATATTTTTGAACTAAATTGACCTAAAGTTATCATCAGCTTATCAGCTTTTTGACATAACTTTCAATGGGATATCGGCCAAAAAAGCTGCTTTTAAATTTATAGTCAACTTTATTTTAAGTATAACTACGGGCCATTGTTTTTGAGCCGCTTTCGTTTCACATCCACACTCTTGTAATATTTTATTTAACGTAATAATTCATTATTTTAAAATTTTAAAAAGATAACAACTCTTTTCCAGAAATATCCTATATATTAATCCGGATTACAACCTATCTGTCATCACTCCCACTCACTACCACTACATTATGGTTTATTTTCAAGTTATTTAACTGTTAATGCGGTGCATGCGGCTAACATTAAAGGGCATACCGCAGGGAATTACAAGAAATGTTGCTTTTCTTATCAACAAAATAGGTTTGAGAAATCTACATAAATGAGTTACAAAAAGTTAAGCTGTCGATCTCATCACGCCCTTTAAACAAAATAGAGTGCTCTCTAATCAGCTTACTCATAATGTCAACTGCGGGTGAACAAATAGTGCATATCTATAGGTGTTGTCTGCGTCTGTACAACTTAACAAATTGATAATATTGAGAATCATAAAAATGTATACACGTAAGCAAATATTTATGTCTTCACACATTTGTAAGCCTACTGAGTTATGTAGCTATGAAAAAAATAAAATAAAAAAAAATAAATAAATAAATAACAGCAAAACTCACCTTGGCAGGTGCCATGACCGACACAAGTCAGCAGCAGCAGGAGCGGCAACAACAATTCAACAATAACCGCAATTAGGCTGTCGGCATTTAATCTGCAACGGCAACAACGCCAACAACGCCAACGCCAACTCACAGGAACCGGCATATTGGAGATTGCCTCTGCTATTCAACGCCGCAGGGTAGCCAAATGAATGTATGGAAATGTGTATGTACGCGTATGTGTGCGTTTCTCAGGCGTTAGTTTGCTTTCTCCGTTCTTTGCTTATCACTTGTTGTCACACTGCTTTGTCAACTTTTCCGCACTATGCCCTAACACCACTTTACTTTGCACTTCACTTCTGGACATAAACGCACACTTGCTGTGCGCTATTATTAAATGTTGTTTTTGTATTTGTTATTCTCAATAATGTTTGCTTGTTGATTGGTTTGTTTGTTTTTATTTTTATTTTGTTCAATTGTCTATTTGTTGTTTAACAACTCAGTTATTTTTTCTACATAGTTCTTTTTACACATTGACATGTGTATGTACATACATATGTACATGTATGTATGTATTATTCTTGTGGGTGTTGGTTGTTAATTTGTTTGCATACCAATTACAATTATTTATGTACATACATATGTGCATTCAGTTTCGTTTTTATTGCTTTTCAATTTGTTCATGGAGCATTGACTTTTATTTTGAAATTTTCATTCACAGCATTGTTAAGATTTCAGAAGGTTATGTACCTTCGCATGCAGAATTTTAAAATTGTTTACATAGCGTAGATTGTTTGCTGATAAGTATATAGTAGATAAGAAAGTTTTCGTTAATAGTTTCAACAATGAAAGTGCATTTGGTCTGGCAGCAGAAATGGCAAAAACAAGGAAAAGAAGTGCAGAAATAAAACAATATAATGAGATCCCAAACGTCCAAAGAAAAATTCAACAATAGTTTTTTATATTTAACTTTGCATTTTGTATTGGAATTCACTTTCGACTTAGTTTTGTATGTTTATCCTCTTAATTATATAATTTGTTAGATAGTCTTACTAGTACTAACACGGGTTAACTAAACCAAATATTTCCATCATTGGGCCTGGAATATGGCAATGGAATATTAAAATTTTTACCATGTAGAACATTAACCCTTTCAGTACAAAAAATCAACTGTTGAAGCTAAAAACCTGAAAATTTTTATACGGGCTAATTTTGGGTCGATGATTTCGAAAATACAAATTTTATAAAACTGTCAGTTTCACCGTTATTCAGCGTCCATTATATTGCACAGTGGGATTCTAAGTTTGTAAACTGCGAAGTGATCTCAATTATTTATATTTTTTCTTTCGTGAATTATATTTCAAACTCCCGAATAATACTTACAAATTTTTTCGAACCTCAATTCCCTGGAAAAATTGTCAATTTTTTCTAAAACATTACACTGTTCACTATCGACTTTTGTGATACTTTTCACTTTTTATACTTATACTTTTATATTATACGTTCAACTGCATTCAGACAATATAATTAAAGAAACGCGATGAGGAAGAATGATATAATTTTCTCAAAACAACTATTCTTTTAACAACAAAAGCTCTTATTTACGAAAAAATTAGTTTGCCCAATGTATTAGACGCTTGTACTGAAAGGGTTAAAATGTTGTTTTAATTTAATGGTGTTTGAGATCGAAAAATATTTTAAATAGGATAGTCTCATAAATTTCGTTTAGCAAGGCTTTTATGTACACTAGGGTAGTCCAAAATTGCATGTGGAAAAGTATAGTCGGAATTTTAATGCCTTCACCCCCTAGGATTGTTCTAGATCGAAAGATATATACCCTTGCTTTTTTCGAAAAATATTTAAAAGACGCTCAAAACGCTTAAAGTTTTCTTTGTAATTTATATGGGAAAAGGACCATTTTTCGGGGAAATGGCATAGACTTCTTGAAAATCAATGTTTCTATACTATAACTATACTTTATAGGTCCGCCAATATTCCCAGAAAATGCAATGGGGGGGGGGGTAGATACAAAATCTTTAGTGTAAAAAAATTGTTAAATAAACAATGGGGTATTGTTATTGGATGTCTCCCGAAAAGAACCAGAGTTTTCCCATCGAAAAATATCGATTTTCAAGAATTCCATACCATTTCTATGAAAAGTGGTATTATCCCATATAAAATACATGGAAAACTTAGGGGTATATTTTTCGATATAGAACAATCCTAGGGGGTGAGAGCATTAAAATTACGACTTTACTCATTTCGGACCACCCTTATATACTTAGGTCTTTTTTATGCGGAAATGAGTTCATGCGGTTTTTCAAATTATATTTTCGCTATAGCGATTTTGCTTTTTTGAGACTTGTTGTTACTTTTTTTCCGTGTATAAGGGAGAATGCTTCTGATAATTAATTTGTTTTTGTATTCTTACATAATTCGTGTTTTTTTTGTAGTATTTTTTTTTTGTTTCTGATTAGAATACAGATAAAATTTTATTTGTTTAACTAATATTCAGTTTTACATGGAACAATAAGTGTTGAAACGAAGAAATAAACTGTTTTGTTGTGCTTAATATTGCCTCACTGGATTTTTTATACGGTTTTAAAAATGCTGGAACGCATCCCCTGCGGAAAGAACTTTTTTATGTGGATGGTTTTTATGCGGCTTTCTGAGGATACCGCATAAAAAAAGACCTAAGCCTATTCTACATCTGTTGCTCTTCATCAGCAAATTTTACGTACTGCATACACTGTAAATATCATTTCGCATCAAATCTGATTAAGTTATAAATCATTTCAATTCTAAAAATGAAAAGCGACTATCTTTCAAACAACATAATAAAGGAGCTGCTCAATTAAAATTGCATTAGCACTTAAGACTTTGATGCAATTATTCATGAAGAACAATTGAATTGCATGAAAGAGATTACAAAATATTGTCCGAGCACAAACATATTAATTAATGCTAGCCCAGCGTAAATTTTATCCGGACAAAGTCAAAAAAGTTCAAAGCCAATAAATAAAAACACAAAACGATGGCGCTTTGTTGACTGACTTTCGCCGACTTTGAGATGATTTTTTCTTACTTCTTTCTATACAAGTAGTGTTCAATTAATAGCACCGTGGAACAAACTTGAACTTTTAAAAATACCGAGAGTGCGCATATATCAGGTTTGATAGCTGTTGGCCATACAAACAATTCCTCATACTTAGTTTTACTAGATGATGATGTCGAGAAAAAAATTTCATGATCCAAAATCCTGCGCATAGCGGCCAAATTTGTTTCTCCGAATTTCGAAAATCCAAAGTTGTTGGCCTATATTTGCTTTGTATGCTATTTTCAACAAATATAGGCAAAAAAATTTTCAAAATTCGGAGAAAAAAAATGTATCCGCTATACTCAGATTTTTGGATCATGAGAACTTTTTTCTTGAGAATGCGAATTCATCTAGTAAATCTGAGTGTGAGGCATTGTTTTTTATGGCCAACGGCTATCAAACCTGATATATGCGCACTCTAGGTTTTTCTTTGTGTTCCACAGTGTATTAGTTTCAATAAATTGGATGGCTGTAGTTGGGATAAATAAAAAGTGTGCGCATACATGCATACACATGTGTGTACATGTCGACCTCTTGGCGCGAAATATGTAATTGTATGTGCCAATAACCAAATTTTATCAGAGAGCGTTTTTTTTTTACTTTTCTGTGCTATAGCTTCCAATAACGAAACCTAATTTTACATGTGCTTAGATAATTAATTAATATAACTAAGCTCAAAATTTTTCGTTTTGAAGAGATCACATTTTCCGAAATAAGTTAATAGTAAGAACAAATATTTTTAAAGCAGCTTTCTAAATGTGAACGAAATCGGACCATAAATACTGGTTTACTAAAAAAAATTTGTGTGGAGTTATTCCTTTTCATTTAGTTAATATACCTTCTAAATATGAACCAAAGCAGACTATAAATACGGATTTTTCAAATATCTCGACTCCTGCGCCACCTATCGGATTAACTCATCCTTCGCATTGCATTGTCATCGGGTTCTGAGCCAACTGCGAAGTTTCCAAGTCTCTAGGTCATCGGTAAGGTGCTCAAAAATTTATTGCAAGATTTGCCCCGTAACGAACATACTTACATACATACACATATACAAACAGATCAAGTTAAATCCCCGCAAACATATTCTGAGCGTTCAGAATATATGAGTCCGAAGGGAGTCCTAGGTAGGTAAGAAATATGAGTTTCAAAAACAAATTTTTTTTTACTCTTATATGAATCTTTTAGGACTCATATATGATCCAAGTTATGAGCCAGCACCTTGTGCCAATATAAAAACAATAAAGATTTGAAATTTATATCCAAACTTGTTTATACAGAAATTGAAAATAATTAGAAAACAATAAATGAACAAAATTTAGCTGCAGCTGCTTCTATTGCATGCATGCTAGAATGTGTATATGCACGTAAGTATGTATGCATGTTATTTGAAAGGAATTTTGCTGAATGCTTTTGCAAATATAGTGCGTTCAATAAGACTCAAAGAACAACCTAAAATAAGAGTCCGAATTTAGTAATTTATGAGGCTGATTAGAGGCTCGAAAAGAGTCTGAAATGATTCATATATGAGGCCAATAATTGTTTTAAAAGAGTCCAAAATGAGCCGTATATTAGGCCAATAAGAGTCCAATATGACTCATATTGAGGCTCATTTGATGTATGAATTTAAGCTCATATAAGTCGACCTTCGGAGAAAGGGAAACACGCTCATATCGGACTCTTAAATGAGCTCATTATGAGCGTAATGGCTCTGAAATAGGACTCCTTAAAGACTCATTTATGACTCCAAATGTTTGCTCGGATAAAAGCTTGTACCCCGCAAACATATTCTGAGCGTTCAGAATATATGAGTCCGAAAGGTGTCCTAGGTAGGTAAGAAATATGAGTTTCAAAAACAAAATTTTTTTTACTCTTATATGAATCTTTTAGGATTCATATATGAGCCAAATTATGAGCCAGCACCTTGTGCCAATATAAAAACAATAAAGATTTGAAATTTATATCTAAACTTGTTTATACAGAAATTGAAAATAATTAGAAAACA